GTCTCTGTCTGTGTGGTCTCTGTCTGTGTGGTCTCTGTCTGTGTGGTCTCTGTTTGTGTGGTCTCTGTCTGTCTGTCTGTCTGTCTGTCTGTGTGGTCTCTGTCTGTCTGTGTGGTCTCTGTCTGTCTGTCTGGTCTCTGTCTGTCTGTCTGTCTGGTCTCTGTCTCTGTCTGTGTGGTCTCTGTCTCTGTCTGTGTGGTCTCTGTCTCTGTCTGGTCTCTGTCTCTTTCTGGTCTCTGTCTCTGTCTGTCTCTGTCTCTGTCTGTCTCTGTCTGTGTCTGTCTCTGTCTGTGTCTCTGTCTTTGTCTGTGTCTCTGTCTGTGTCTCTGTCTCTGTCTGTGTCTCTGTCTGTGTCTCTGTCTGTGTCTCTGTCTGTGTCTCTGTTTGTGTCTCTGTCTGTGTCTCTCTCTGTGTCTCTCTCTGTGTCTCTCTCTGTGTCTGTCTCTGTGTCTCTGTGTCTCTGTCTGTCTGTCTGTAGACTCCAGCTGCCGCAAACCATTTCCTTTGGTGGCGCAGAGAGCCCAAAGAGACAGAGGACATCAGAGAGGGTTGAGGAGAAGAGAAACATGGCAGAGCCAGCAAACGCAAGGAGGAGCAGAGACAGAACTCTTATGATTGCCAGATGCTGAGGATGACGAGAGTGTTAGAATGAGCCCCAAGAAGAAGGTGAGGAGCGCCCGAGAATACTTACGAGGAGGTTATGACATGTTGGCTGAAGAAATCCGTCACTCGGCGTTGGATGACGTCAGTGGGGACGAAGAAGGAGGAGAAGCAAAGGCAAAGGGTTGACCGCCAGAGGTCACAGATGAAGAGCTGGCCAAAATTTGAGAAAAGATCAGAGCATATCGGAGACGAGAGAGGACGAGCGCGTCCTCACCAGAAAAATGGCGACCACATGGAAGTTTCGCGACGAGAAAGGAGGATGGCTCAGACGGCCAGGTTGGCGGGAAGGCAGTTCAAATGGCTGCATCTCCACATGACACTTGATGTCAAAGATGCCTTCTTGCCGATGGAGCAGCCAGCTGATGAGGAGGCGATGATCGTTGCCAGTGACGGCAAGTACAGGCTGAGGAGGAACTTCTCTGCCAAAAACGCAGCGCCGCACGCAAGCTACCGTGATGTTAGAGAGGTGGTGGATCCTATACGCAAGCCAAATGCTTTAAGGGTTGCGTGGTGTGGCTCGGGACAGTGGTGTGACTCTGGATATCACGCAGAGAAATACATGAAGCAGAAGACTTAGAAGGTGAAAAAGAGAGGTCCACCATACCAAGGATTCAGCAGCCTCAAACGCAACATGGAGATCGTCAAGTCTGGCGTCGCCATCATTCCAGATCAGGAGCGCATCAAGAGCTTGCCAAGGTCAGAAACGTGAAGCGTCGAAAGTTCCCCACCACTCAGCAAAATGGGAACTTCACGACTCCAGACCGCCCAGATGCAAACTTGTTGTTCAGGGATTGGCCAGCTTGATTCAAAATGCCACTGTGCTCTTATTTGTTGGGAACAATGCGCGAGGGCATTTTTGTGGAGGGTGTTTTGAATGTCGGTGACAACGTGTTTGAATGGGAAGCGACGACGGTGCAACCATGGCCCAACAAGCTCAGCCTCGGTGAGGATTGGGGCAATGCCAACTTGCTCGAGGTGATCTGTGACACGGACTATGCTCCACAGAAGGACGCAAGAAGGTCAGCGAGCTCAGCGCAGATCTACCTCGATGGAGGACTGATGGAGAGCAGGTGTCAAGGATGCCTTTTCATCAGGAGAGAGCGAGTACGTGGTTGGGGGCTGGAGTGAAGGGTTGTTCATCAAGCGCCATTGGCAATTTCTGGCAGGTGAAGAGGTGGACATGGTCTACAGGAGTGAATCTCCTGCAGCAAGACGAGCCGCGTTGCAGCAGGATTTCTATGGCTGCCACAGAAGGTGAAAGCAAAGGAGATGTGCATCACCGCAACCCCAACGGCCATCAACGTCAGTGACACAGGCGCCAAGATTCTCAGCAAAGCGGCGTGAGAGGATTGAATGAAGTATTTGACCAAGATGGTTGACGCAGATGACCAGGAGATAGCGAAGCAGAGTTGAGGAGATCCGAAGAAGAGCGTAGTTAAACCAAAGAAGAGCCGAAGAAGAAAGCTGGAAAGTTGGCCAAATCTGTAGGAGGACATGCAAAGATTGCGTTGGTCCTGGCGTTGACAATGCTGCAAAAAGGAATAAGGCATCAGAAGCGCGCGAGAGACATGTGTTGCTCACGCTGGTATGTCTTGCTGGTGTTGGGGCCTGCACGGTGGCTTTGTGAGAAAGGAGTTCAGTGGGGCAATGGAAGACGAGTTCACGGAAGAAACACGACAGAGGAAGTGAAGCCAGCCAGAGGGAGAGGCAGCTGGAAGGTGATCCTGAGAAAGTGAACATGCAGTGGCAAGTCATCATTGATGAAAGAAATGAAGAGAAGGGGGCATGGATGCATGAAGCTCTCAATTTCAGTGACATGAATGTCGACCTTAGAGGACAAGTGAAATTCAGCATGGAGGCCGAGCGGTGAACGCTACCACCAGATGAATGCAATTGTGTGGCCAATAGAGTAGACACGGTGCATGCTGCGTACCATCCACCGTGAGGGGCGTTTGGAGTGGACTCAGGACTTGATGGTGGATGGGACGCATGGACAGTGACTGTGGGGCCCAAATCTGAGGCGCAAAAAGGTTGTGCACCGCTTTTCATAAGCGCTTCGTGGTCTATGGAACACACGCAGTTGGCTTGGATATTGATTTTGTTTGTGTAAGATTGTGAGAAAGCTATTGGATTGCATTTCATGATTTGTGCTTTCAGAATTGTCCTTGATATTCGACATGTGAATAAACAATGCAACGAACAACACGCGCAGAAAAATATGCCAGATCTTGGTGTGTGCTTCCGGTTGTCAGCTGGGTTAACGTTTTCCTTTGCCTGTTCCATTGTGTCATCCTTTTCCTTTTCTCTCTTCCTTTTCCGATTGCTGTGGCAGTTGCTGATGATTTGGTTCTTGTTGCCTTTCGTATTCCATGAAAACAATTCGTGCTTGTGCGTATTTTGCGATTGAATGAACCTGCCAGAACTGCACGTGTTGTTATATGGGTCTGTTTTTGTTCTGGCAGCTGTGCGTTTTCTGCTTTCTGGGGTGTGCAAGTCGTGTTTGATGTGTTTTGCACTTGTAAATCTTAAGTGCAAATCCAAACGGAACTACAAAGCGGGCCGCTTGTGTTTGTGTTTACCGACATCTCTGATGACCGTGTGCGGTTTCAACGGCAAGGTGCTATGGCAGCAAAGAGAATACAGGAGTGGGAGTGCCTATAGTCATGGACATTGTTCAATTCAACATCTTTCAGTTTGTGAACCCTCCCTACTTAGTTTCGCCAAAACCCCCTCGCTTCTTCCCACCGGACGCCCGGTTTCAGGACTTCGCTGGACCTGAACTGGTCTCGTTGCTGCGGAGCTTTGCACAGGCAAACGTCAAAGACCTTCAGCTCCTGGAGGTGAGATCGAGACAGATGGGAGAGGGAAGAAAACACACGTTAAATCCAAAAATGCGAGAGATATCGATAGATGATAGGACTTGCTGAACAAACATGTCCAAACATGAAGAAACACACCATTTTGAAACGTTCATTGTCATTTGGGAGCAGGAGAGGCCTTGACCAGGCCTTGACCACTGCCTTATGTCCTCAACTTCACCTGTGTTGTCCTGGTGAACTGGCTGAGGCATGGCTTGAGTGGTGGGGGGGGGGGCGTTTTGGTGGCCAAAACGATATCTTCACTTTTCCTTCCCTGCGGCTTTTCGCTCATACCTTGACGGTTCTCCTACCAACCTCATCCCCAGCCAGATCGGACGCGCCAGCGTTCGAGCTCTTCGAGCTCCGCACAGGTGGCACGGGACTTGAGGTTCTTTCGCTTCCGGCCGAGCAAGATGCCGCTTGGGCGATGTCGTTGAGTGTGAAAAGAGAGGCATCTGGATCAAACAATTAGAAAGAGCATCAAAAAGAGTAAAAAGAGGAGCAACCAAATAAAGGATAACAACACATATTCCTTGATAGGCCTCTTCTGCTGCTCTCCTGGCCCTGTGGTCTGAGGGTCCTCTGGTAATAAGGTCCCTTGGTCCTGTGGTCCGCTGGTCCGCTGGTATCCTGGTCCTTCTGTCTCCTGGTCCGCTGGTCTCTTGCTCTCCTACTCCGCTCGTCTTTCAGTCTCCTGGCCCCTGCTTGCGCAAATAGAGGCTTGATAGCTTTCTACTAGAGGCAGCTCCCTGGGAGGAAAGTAGGTACCCAATGATAAGGTAGCTGTCCAGTCATTGAGTAGCCCTGCTCAAAAAATGGTTCACCAGTAGAAATAGCTCCAGGGAGGTACACTCTCCTAGTCCCCTACTCCTTCCATCCTCTTCCCTTGGTCTCCTAATCCACTGCTAGGGAATTGTTTTGATCCTGTTCTTTTCTGTTGATTTAGTCCGCTAATGTGCTTTTGGCGCAGACACGCCAATCATAGCATGTCCATGGAGGGTAGTGCAGAACAGAACACACTAGAACCTCTTTGAGCCGATTCTCAACCCCTGGAGAAGGGTCAGAGGACCGCACCGCTCCGCGCCCCACTCGTTTTCTTTTTCGCCAAGCCCATGCAGAGTGTTTTTGGGTGACTTTAGACAGCAACCAGGTCATGGAAAGAACCTTCTTGGGATCCATTGGAGCGGCATGAGGTGTTTGGCAGCTCTTCATGGAGAAAGCAAAGCCAAGCTCAAAGCCTTTCAGGCGAAAGCGGCGAACGTCGAATTCACAGAGCTGTCAAAATGTTCGATTTCGACACGCCTGAGACAGATTAAGAAGCCTTTGAACTATCCTCATTACATAATGATCATAAGGTATTTGGATTACATGGCCTCACCGTCTCTACCTTCAGTTTCACCATCCCGCTCCTCGCAGGCTGCGGGGCTTTGCGACGTCTTGTGGTGCTTGGACTCTTTTGGCCGGGATTGACACGCGACGTGAGACGTCGAGGGGCCGGTGTCGTGTTGCCGTGGATGACTTCGGAGAGCAATAGGTGGATCTGGACACCTCTGATCATTATGGTCATTTGCCATGTTTTGAAATCGTCCTTTTGGAGTCGAATCAGTGAGCTTTTTCGTGTCGTATCGTCGTATCGTGGCAGGTGAACATGAGATGTGTGCGGATCTCATTGAATCGACCACCATCTTTCCAGATCAGCAGGACACTTAGATCGTGCGACATCGCCTCAATCGCCTCGGATGTCGGTCGAGGCCGATCCTTCTGGCCACGGCCTGTGCTTTGTCGGAGACGGCATGTGCTACACCAGGTCTGTGGGTTGAGACGCGTGCGTCAGCTGTGCGTCCAGCGTTTTGTGGGTTGAGAATGGGTGCTTGGATGTGCTTGGTTTTCTTCAGCCACATGAGACAGCCTGCACTGCAGCCGCAAACGAAACGCGAGTTGGCTGCGGTGTGGGCCGCAGATTGGAGGCCGAGAAAGGCACTTGGATGAGATTTTGCAACCATTGCTGACGGCTCTGAGGCGTCACTGAGACATCGCAATCCACAGCGAGGAAATATGAGTGACCAGAGCCATGAAACATCACGTCTATAGAGGAAAGACGAAGAAGAGATCATGGGATAGAGGTCGCTTCTCCTACAGTGTAGGCTTTCACTGTTGAATGTTTGGCTATTGTTTCCCTAGGAAAATCACCCTTTAAATTGGGGAACTGAATCATGCGACGAAGGCGGGGCACCAGCTTCAACGTGCCGGTGCCTCACTTGGGCCCACATCACACAAAGCGCCTGCTGAAAGCACTTGGCGTCCAGGCAAGACACTCCTGTGCTGAGTGTCTTGCAGATCACCAGATTGCCGACCACGGGTCGATTTGTCAAACGCATTCGAAGAGCTCTTTGAGAACTTCGTTTTTTGTTTCCCTGAAACATCATGTAGATTGTGTACTTCTGGGGCTGCTCCGGCGCTTCGGCCGCAACAAACACACCTTCGCCACCAACCTTTTGGCCAGGCCACGTGCGACCGCCGCTGGGCGGCCGCAGCGCGGCGCGCGGTGCGCGCGGTGGCGGAGAGCTCGCCCAGTCCAGCTGCCCCTCGTGCCACTCGTCCCTTCGAAAGCGTTGCCTTCAACATGTAGAGCGGAGTGGTTGGGATTTCGTAACGGACGGACGTTGTGAGCATCCTGGCATCCGGGTTTTAAGTCCAACCCTCACGAAGATAGTTCAAAGTTTATATGCTCAAACTCGCTGACGCTCCGACATACTCGCTTCGATCAAAGCATGCGTCAAACGCTGTCAGCTTTGGTCCAGGAAAGACCTGCTTACTCTTGATTTCTCGACCTGCAGGAACGAATCCGGCCACAAGTGAAGTTGCCCAAATCTTGTTGACATGAAGGCGTCCAATGAGTTCCAATGGCACCCTACCGGCCCTACCCTTCTTTTGCGAGCGCGTCATCGCTTCCTCATCAGCTAGGCCAAGAGTGGATGTGATCACACCTACGTCGTAGACCCCAGCAGCTACGCGGAAGTTGTGACCCGCTTCGGCGTGGATAACTTTGGAAAAATTGGAGGCCAGTCGCTATCTTGGAAAACCGATTTAGACAGAATGCTTCGATTCGTTCATTTTCATCCATTCTCCACCTGAAAGGCCAAGGCCTTGTGTACAGGTCCCACTGCCACCGGTCCTGTATTTTCAACGTGGGTGCCTCATGTCCGACCGTCCGACCGTCCGTGTTGCTGCTTTCGTGTCCCTTTCGCTGCAAGGCCGGTGTTTGTTGAACCAGATTGGCATCGGACGCCTAGAGGAGCGAACGAGCCGAGCGCCACCAGCCGAGCACCGCGCCTGAGTACGGTCAGTGGAAGTTGGGATTTTCGTCGTCTTTGTGCAACAAGGACTTGGGCTCGCTTGGGCTTGGGCCTCCAGGGGTGTGGATTGTGATTGTTGATAGAGCAAACAGGTCCTCAGGCACACCACCGGCACGCCGTCGCAGAGCCAGGAGCGATGGGCCGCGGAGGTTCGGGAGTTTCTCACTGCTTGGCAAGGACGGGGCCACCAGAGAAAAAAGACATGGGCATCAGAAGAAACACTTGGAAAAGCTAGACAAAAGATTAGGTTTTGAAGCTAGACATGTCAAATCAACTCTCAGATTCAGCACATAAGAAGACCATGAAATGCCTCTGTGGGAGGTGTTGCTAATTCCTCAATGGACTGGAAGGCAAGGAGTTTGGGCGGGCGGTGAGAACTTCTTTTTCCATGAGAACTGCGTTTGGACATGCTTCCGTTGCGGCCGTTGATCCTGTGGTGCGCTTGCGCAAAATCAACCGATCTGATCCACCGGGTGGAGCGTTTTTCATCGTTTTTCTCGCCCCAAGCCGACTCGGCCGTCGCTTCGCCGCTCGGTTTGGAGGCTCCAGCCGCTCATCGGCGCATCTATGCCTTTGTGCCTCGGTCGGCTCGAAAAACTGCCAGACGCGAGCGAGTACAGTATATGGAGCAGGTCCAAACGAAGCTGTCCATCACCCTGACGAACTGCGCGTTGTTTCGCGCCCGTGTGGTCGGGCTCTGGGGAGTGTGGCCGGTGTCTATTCAAAACCCAACAAGAACCATCAACGAGATGATGTGCCCAGTGGGTCAACAACCTGTTAGGTCTTGATGGTCTTGGAAGTTGGGAGGTGAAACGGGTACTTTACCTGAACATGCCATGTGTCCAACCTGTCCAACCTGGACTTGCCGGACATCGTTTCGAACAAAAGACCGCCTTGTGTCAACATCGGTGTAGGCTTTGGATGAGTTGTCGACTGGTCAATGGGGTCTCTGTAACGCGACGCACGCAAGCTTGAGGGACTAGAAAGGTGCCAATTCATGGCTCATGATGCTCATCTGCTTGAACGAGATTGAGGTAGTCGCATGAGTGCACTCAACGGTCGTCGCATGGCTGATCATGGCTGTTGGGGTGTATGAATAGCTGGTGCCTGGTGCTGAACATACTTCTATAATCTTCTATAGCCTATAGCGCTTCTTGTGGCTTCGTAAGTGAACACGTAGTCCGCTTTCCCCACTCACCGATTTCCCGCCCGTGGTCCGCCCACGTGCACCCACGTGGGCGCGCGCGTGCGTGTTCTCCTGGCGCGCTCGCGTGTTCAAGGCGGAGTTCCACTTCACCAGTCGCATGGAGCCGGGGAGGATTTTGCTGGAAGGCCCCTCGCGGGGGGATCTGGTGGTTTGAGACTTGGTTCGTGGGAGACTCTGTAGGGCCAGGCTGCCATGGCTGCCATGGCTCGGGTCAATGACCTGGCCAACATGTCAATTGAAGCTACCTAGACGAGCCTATCGCTCAGAGCAAGCCATGCGGCATGCTACCTTTAGCGAGTTGAAACAAGTTGAACTGAGTCAGAGTTTTTCGAAAAATCCGGTTGAACTCGGTTACGCTGAGTAGTTGAATTTCAGTTGACTTTTTGGATCACCGCAGGCTACACAGGTGCACTTTCCACACCTTTTATGCGCGCCAGGAACACTCTTTCAGCTCAATGGACTTTGGGGAGATCCGGTGCAACGCGGATGCGTTTGGGACGTCAGCTTCGGTAGGCTTTTGTGGGCTTAATGAGACCGAGAAGTGAGTGCGTGTTTTTATATTTTGTTCACAACCGCCACTTCTGTATATGCTTCTCCAAGTGTTTGAATCGCGTCCAAATACACTTTGACTGATCAGATCTGAGCAGAACCACCTGATCCTTAGCAAAACGCCTGGCAACGTGATGTTCGGATGTCAGGCAAGCTCGAAAGCCTTGGCTTTATGCTGGTGCCTAAGGAATCCGACGCGTCTGTTTACAGAACAGACATGGGCTGTGCTCTTGCGTCATGCAGAGCCGTTCGGTTTTCCCGTTTGCGAAGCGCTTGGGGGCTTGTTTCTCCGAAAGCCAACGGCTCCAGCTGCAGGGCCCAGGGCGAATGAAGGCCCTGCCTTTTCCAGACTTCGTCCACTTCCGAGTGACGAATCGTTTCACTCCGACTCCACCATGAAATGGCTACATTGGAGTCTTTGTATTCTCTTCAGGCCAGTGTTGGAGCTTCAGGGGAGCTTCAGGTGTAGAGTGGGGAGTGCTTCACGTGCAAGGGTTTCCTGGTGGGTTTCTTATTGTGGCAGTGGCCGTGAAGTCCTTGTCACAGAAGGGAGATCATCCGACACTAGGACTTAAGACTTCATGCTTTTGGCTCAACCTTCAAGATTCACAAGAGGCATGGATCAATATCCAATTTGGCCATCAGGCCAAAGAACACAACATCCTTCCATTGTTTTTCCACTCTCCGACTTTTGATAGCACTTGCTGCGCACCCCATTAATTTGGAAAAACCATCAACCAACGAAACATCAGGACAAAGCCAGGGAGAAAAAACGAAGAACACACAGCGCGCTGGTTGAACCGGTTTTAACGGTCCAACACTCCGTCCTCAGTCGCTCCGGTTTCACACCACCTCCGGTGTTTCCGTCCTCGGTCTCCCCGGCGGCCTCGGGGAGACCGCGGTCTTCGCAGGTGGACCGAGGCCTCGGTCTTTCGGCCCAACGGCGACGCGGCGGCCTGGCTGCTGTGGAACCATCCCACGGCCGCTGGACCGCGAGTTGAGCGGTAGCCGTCCTGAAGTGGCCATCACAAGCGGTGCATGAAACCTGGGAAGTTTCACCGTTATTTTTTTAAAATTGGATTCGAAAAGGAACACGAAAAGCAGTGATGCTTTCTCAAACCTGGATGTGGATGAGGGTTTAGCCCCGGCAATCCGTCAACCTTCTCCGCTTTCAGAGCTGTGTGATGGTCATTTTTTTCCGTTCATGACGTTCCTGGGTGTTCACCTGGCAGACACGAAAAAAGGTAGCAGCAGCAGATGCTTTAAAAATGCCGTACCATGCCATACCCCAATGTCCCATATCCTTTCATGGAACAATCGTTGTGTTGCACATGGAACAATCCTCTGATCATGCCTTTTGACTGAGGCCATTTTTGATCCTCCATACTGCGCTGTGTCGCAACTTGCCGACAAAGGAGGTGACTGTTGGAAGGGGATTGTTGTTTGAAGACCAACCTCTCCAGTTGTTCCTATATAAGTTGGTGCAGGCGTGCACAGCCTCGTGGTGGCCTGGTTGGAACTGAGTCCAACACCTGGTTGAAAGTGCTTGGAAGAGGCTATGAAGTATGGAATTCTTTGAAATTCGCGAGGGGCAGACCAAACCATCACTGTGTCAGCGATCATAAGCTCCAAATAGAATTGTGCGCAATCCTTCCTTGTATTTTCTGTCAAGAAACGGTCCCACAGAATCATGAAAGCATTGTTCTTGTAGTAGTGGTGAGCTGCTGAAGCTCACAAGGAAGACCCTTTGACTCAAGGGTGTACTTTAAAAAAAATGTTCAAATTGTTGTATCAAAACCTTATGTCGAAACTTCCAATGCGACGGTCTTGGGGGTTCCTTTTTAGTCACACTACTGTTCTGCATGTCAGGAAAGCAGGAAAGAGGTGTCACTGCTCATAGAGGTTTTGTATACGTAGTTTTAGTATTTTGTAAACTGGTGCTGGTGGTGGTCGTCGGCGTCGCAGTCGCAGTCGCATTCGAACTCTTCGTGGTGGTGGTGGTGGTGGTGGTGCTCCTCGTCGTCGTCGTCGTCGTCGTCGTCGTCGTAGTAGTAGTAGTAGTAGTAGTTGTTGTTAATGTTGTTGTTGCTGCAGTAGTATCCAAAAGCACGAATGCTCAGGCCGCCTGCAACTAAGTCAGGTACTCGTAAGATCAGGTAAGTAAGTATTGAAGTAAAGCAAAGTAAAGTAAGTAAGATGTGGTAAAGGGCTAAGGTAAGGTAAGGTAAGGTAAGGTATGGAAATAAGTTATATAAGCAAGCACACGAGCCAGTCAGGAAGTAAGGAAGAAAGGAAGATACGAATTCGTATCACTATTTTTACTTCCAAAAGCTTCAAGTCGTAGCGGCCAAGAAGTAATTAGTGGCCGGTCGTCATTTGATCTCGAGGATCGACCCTTTTTCGAGTCGAGAACCGGGAGCCGATGAATGGAAAATGAATCGAAGCTCTTCGAATCTGACTCGCGGAGCTCATCTCTGAGAGAAAACAAAAAGAGCTTACTATGAATCGTCTTATGTGACGATCCTCCAATATGTAGCCGAAAGTCCAATCGAAAACGCATCGAGAATCGCGACGCGGTTTCTTTGGATCAGCGCGTCGAGGATCGATGGAGAGCCGTGAAACGAGAATCAGAATCGGCTCGCTCCGTGGGTCGAGGATCGAGGATCGGATCGAGGATCGAATAGGACGGTTCAACATGGTAAAACAAACGCCAGCAGGGCAGGACAGGACAGCAGATTTCGCAGCCCCCAACGCCGGGTGAACCAGGGGCTTTCCGCAACTCAGACAGTCTTTTCTACGTGATCACATGTGATCACAACATTGCACCATTGCGTAGGGCTTTACGTGGCAACACTTCCCACCAAGTTGTGGGAAGCCACGGGTCAACCGTTTGTTGCCACAATGCCTTGGCCAGGAAGATCTCTTTCAGGTATGCAAAACCATTGAAGTACGTTTGAGAGTGTTTCTACTACCCAGTTGCTCCCGGCCAAAACCATTTGCCCAACGGCCTTCCCATTTGTCCCAACGGTCACCCTGTCCACCAGGCGGTTCACTTCTGAGGACCACCATGGTGATCAATGACATTGTGTTGTCGGCGCAGGATGTCCGGGTCTTGGGCATGCCACTGCTGCCTGGGGGTAAAAGGCACCGAGTGGAATGAAAGGCACCGATCTCACTTACTTGTTTTGCTTGGTTTTCATCTTGCACACACAAACACAAGCACATGCATGACAAACACATGCAAACACACTTCCTTTTGTTCTCCATCTTTCCATATTTTGAACCAACTGTGCTTGAAGGTTCTTATGCAATCTTTCACAGGGCTTTATGCTCCAATCCGTCATCCCAGGTGGTCGCAATGACAGGCGATTGCATGGGTGATCTGGAATCTCCACCTGACTGTGCTGCAGATATTACGGACTTTATAGACTCTTGGCACGGACTGCTGGGCGAAACACTGGTGTCCATGGAGTGAGGGAGTGTCCGGTTCCGGCTCACTGGTGTCCAAGCGCCAGACCAGCTAACAACAGAACCAAAAAGATCAACCTTGAAACCAAGGCATCGTCCATATTTGTGCACGAAGCAGGTCCTTGTGTAGGGTGACCAGTGCAACAATTGGGTGAACGTCCCGTTGCTCCTGGTGATGTGAACGACGCTGACGAGGCCAATATTTTAGATGCAGCACAGGGCGCGGCTGCCATGGCCACAGCGTGTGCTGGCGAAATCAGCGACTGTGAAGCTTGGTGACCGGCCGAAAGCGCAGGAATGAACAGCTCGATGGTATTCCCCAAACTGAGAAAAGCTACCCCTGCGAGAAACCAATGACTTCTGGATGTTGCTTCTGGATGTTTCGGGGTTCTGGGCAGGCAATCCTGGTGGTGTGGAGTGTGGACATTCATTTTCTTGGGAGATACAACATCTCTCCATCTCTCCAAACCATTCTGTCAGTTGAAGGACACTTCAGAGGTAGCACCTCGTCTAAGGTTCACGTGGAATTCAGACAGCTCCAGTTTACCACAAAAGTTATCTCCTTTGGCACCCTGTTTTCGGGTTCTGGCAGGACGTTTTTGAAGCCTGTTTCATGGGCTCAAAAAGTGGCAGTCCATCACCTTCAAACATCCTCAAACTTTTCCAAACGCAGTTTCTTGTCCAGCTGAGAGCAGTTTCCATCTGACAAAAAACAGGTACACGTTGATGTTGAATGTGCTTAATATGTTTGGCAGAGACAACCCTTGTGTTTTGTTGGGAGCAGACAAACAGATACAAAACGTACATCAAGCATCATCGAGCCTCCTATATAACAAAACCTAAGTTCAATGCCAATATGGCAATTTGATCGTAGTTGGCAGTTGGTGTCAGTGTTTGCCATCGTTTGAGCCGAAATAGATAGGTTCAAAATGCGAATTCAGATTAGTTCCAACCTAGAGGACAAGAAGCCCCCTTTAAGGTGACACCGTGCCGTTGAGCCGCTTTCCCACTGCTTGAGCCTTCACTCTGGCTGTTTAAGACCAAAGTCTTCAATGTTTGCAGTTTTGATGAACTTGAACTCGGCATCCATCAGGAACAATTGGCCACTTGGCAGAAACCGATTGGAAGACTTGCCGAAAGGTCCCGTGAGTGCGGAGGTCGTTTTTGGGTGTGTTCGGTCAAACGAGTGTAAGTGACAAGGGATTTTTCCAAGTGGGTCGAAAAGGAAGATCTAAATCTAGATGGGCACATGAAGCAAATGATGCTAGAACGCTTCATATATGCCCCTTGATCAAGAAGTGAGTCTTGACACGCTCGTGCACCGGTCCAAAACTCCTTCCGCCGGTCCACGAGTGTAGGTTTACATGACAGGTCTCGCTGTTCACAGACGGTGTCATCCCAGTAGGTATCGAATGGTATGGAACTGCTATGATGTGAATATATTTCTTTTCAAGCACGACCATGGTATGGTATGGAACTCTATCACCTCCACATGGTTTTGATCATTGGAATGGGAGCAAAAGAATCACTCCTTCATTCAACTCAACAGCCCCCATGGAGATCAACCTGAATAGCACATCTTGGTGCATCAAGTCCCGACCTCTTCGTCCCACTCCGAACCGGTCCCGACCTTCGATGGACCGACCACTGAGACGATCGATGCGGCAGAGATGTTCACCACCTTGGCGTCATACCTGGTGGGCGCA